TCACTGCCTCTCTTCTCCCTACTCCTTTTCCTCTCCACTGCACACCCTCGCTCTGCCCACACACACGTATGAACTCCAACACAAAATACAGAGCACTCTTGCTAGCTGTAGGCAGCTTTGCCTCTGCCATTGCTAATACCCAGTCACAACAACACTGTCATCATTTCCAGGCTTTCTTAGGCTCAATAATTTGCTTACATGATGACTTCTGCTAGAAGCCTCCTTCTCCACTTCAGTGTCTGTGCTTCTTTCAAATGACTTGTCTTCCAGGGAGTATCCCCAGTCTCCCTATCCCCTCCTACACCATCTATAGAGATTAGGTCTCATCCTCTGCAGTCTACCTCAGTGTCCTAGGCACTGTAGGGACTCTACCAGTCCAAGCAGGGTGAACATGGCTCTGGCAGGCCTTGCCCTTCTCCCCCATTCCCTGGACCTTGATAAAAAACCATCAGATTACATTCCTTCAGCTTGTCACCAAGGTCTGTTCCCTTATTTGACCACTTCCTCCTTCTGAGGCTGACTACCAGGGTCCAGTTATTAGAAGTATTGAATTCCAGCAATCAAAAGCCCAATTAAAATTAGACACCTCATCCTAACATGAGCTTTTCCCTTTTCCCTGTATAAACCACCAATTTCCTATGGGCCACACCTGTCTCCTCTCTATCTAGAGGCAGTCCTTTGTCCCTTCAGGACAAAAATCCCTGCCCCCTCTTCCTTGTTCCCTTTCCCTTCTCATCTTCTATCTCCTGTCTCTTATTCCCTGCCCTCTGTCCCTCTGGGACATATAAATTTCCTTTGTGCTGAGAACTTGGTTTTGGGGGTCCTGAGCCCATACTGATTCCTTACAGACACATCTCTCACCTGGGTTTAATCACCCTGGGTATAATCTGTCCCTCTCATCCCTGTACTCAGAACATCTTAGAGGAAAGGTCTGTGATATTGTGTAGCTTTGATCCCAGGCATCCAATATAAAGGATAAAAATCATGAGCAATCTGAAATCAACCTCATCCTCTCCCCAAAAGATCTTTCTATTTTGCCTTTCAATAGCCTATAATTATATTCATACTCATTTAAATTCACTTTATTTAATGGTTAAAGAAAAGTATAATTATACACATTTTTATATTCTTAACACTTTAGTGTCAGAACAGTAAATAAATTTTTAATTTTCCCTATACAGCTCAGTGTTTTAAAATATCAGCTCTTCTCACTGCAAATCCATTAATGCAACTGGCATGTGAATAAATAATTTATCCACTTATATTTTGTGGGAGACTGCTGTGATATCTCGCTGGGACAATACTAATAGCTGATGAAGCACTTGTGTAAGTAATCATGTTTCCCAAAGAAAAATTACTATTGACAGTCATCAAAGGCTATGTAGAGAAAAGAACTGTAACAAAGAAGAAGAACTGCAATTCATGTGATTTAATGTCGGGAGAGAGGAGTGCACTGTTCTGAGAGCATTGTGGCAAACGGGATACGGTTCGCCTAAATAAGCCAGGTGGATTAGGAAAGGAACCCTAATTTGGGCTCCAATAGTCTTCACTGTACAAGAATCTTGCCAAAGGAGTCTCACTGCCCTTGGATGGAAGGTCTTAGGCTTTCGGCTTCCTAGTGGTGAACTGGCAGGCAGTTGGAGTGTTGATGGTGTTTTCTAACTTGCAGAGTGACACTGGAACTGGAAGTCATGCCAAAAAAGGACATCTGAAATGATTTTCTCTCACCTAGAAGAATGCCACTATTTGTGAAACTGGGAGGCTCCATCCTCACTTGCACTGTCCTCTAACACTGAGAAAGTTTTATAGCTTATCCAGGTTGGGAAAAGCAAAAATGTACAGCTACTGTTAAGGACAAGTAACTACCGTCTTTAAACCAAAGAGATTTAACATCACGTGAAAAACAGCACCACATAACTCTGGATTTTATGATCATATAAGAAATTAATTTTTCTCAGATCATTTTAGGCATATATAACTATAGAAAGGCTTAGATATGCCAGCTATGGTTCCAGTTTCAGCCCCTCTGGTTATCTTACTGAAGGTACTAAACTGACATTAAAATTGAGAAAAAAAAATTAGGTCTATCAGGAAGACACAAACCACCACTAGTCAAAAAGTTTTTAAAAACCTTTTTTCTTCTTTCTTCCCAAGCCTTGCAGTAAGTTACTTAAAATGTTTCCCCTTTACAACCACCTGTATTCAACCCTATCCCAAACATTATGGGATAGGGATTATAGCCTGAAACATTATGATCTTAACTTCAGTGTGACAAACCTCGCCTGCTCATGATTCTCAATAAAAACCAATGGCAGAATAGCTTTTCTTTGGAGGAATGTGTATTCTAACATCTGTGAGTACATATGATCATGGTAAAATGCTTAGTTTTACTTTTCACCCAAAGAGAAGCTAAGCTACATAAACATAAATTTAACTTCATGTTCAACATCAGCATTGAAAAAGATAGGGCAGGCCTCTAACTTATGCAGGAATCCCTTGTTGTGTTATGGTGTGTGTGTGTCTGTGTGTGTGTGTGTGTGTGTTTGTGTGTGTGTGGTGTACGCATATATGTGCCACACTGCATAGACTTACACATGAAGGAGCCAGAAGAGGATGCTCAATGTCTTCTTCAATTGTTCTTTATTACGTAGTCCTTTAAAATCAAGTCCCTCACAGAACATCACTGTTTTAGCTAGGCTGGCTGGCCAGGAAGCTCTCAAGATCCACCTGTCTCTGCCCCTCAACATGGGAGTTACAGGCACATATCTGGCTCTTTACATAGGTGCTAGGGTTTGAACTCAGAACCTTAGTCTTGCACAGAAAGAATTCTTACCCACTGAGCTACATCCCCAGTCTTCATCTTTAAATCCATCAGTTTTGTGACTTCTGTGAAATCTATGACCATTACCTCATAGCTCTGCTGTGTCTGGGGAAAAGTACTTGCCCCCATAAGCATTTATCCTGAGCTTCATTTGAACAGAAAACAAGCTGAGGTGCCATGCATATGGACACACCATGCTTATTTGTGTGTCCAAAAACATGACAAACTATTTACTTATACTCAAATAGACCCTCAGCCACTCAAATACTCATACACCAGTAATGCCACCAGGTCCAAAGCCTGGGAAAATAAGTAGGAAATGGATGCAAAACAGTCTAGAAATTCTGAAAAATGTAGCCAGATATATAGTGACATTAAGAACTGATATTAAGAACTACTCAGAACTATTACCTTTTAAGGAAGCAGCAAGTATGCACTCTACAGCATAAAGTAAAGAATGAGCCATGTAAGTACATCTGTCAGTTTGCACTCAACACTCAAATAGCAAGACAGCTACTGAAATTATTTTACCTGCTACAGTAGATTGTTGTTTGTCTGCACTGAGGGAGTGTTCTGTAACCATACTGTAGTTAATATAACTACAGTTAGTAAGAGACAGCGGCCAAGTTTTACAAATTTAAAAACTCGGACCATATACAGGAGTCATCATTGTAAATACATATGAAACTGCATGCCAACAGACTGCTTATTCCTTTGGTTCTGTGATTTAGTATGTTCCCCATTTCCGATTAATAAAAACGTTATTTAGTTTTGTCAGGAATATGAATATTAAGAACAACAGTATCAAGAAGCTAACCAGCATAGCTTCTGACAGTGCCTCCACTCGCTCTGTGATGTGTGACATGTTTCTAACAATAGGGGTCTGGCAGGATATTCTTACAATAAAATTAGTATCCTTGATAATATGTTAATCTCAATCGCTCATGTCCCCAAATAACTTCTTGAGTGGCAGTCAAAGGGGAAAGCAGCACTGGTAGGTCAATTACTATAAAAGTAAGCATGGTGGTTACTTCTGGGAGAAGGAGGAAGCTAGTCCACACACTGGGAAGGGGTCTGAGGAGGCTTGAAAAGTTCTTGGTCATGGTTATGGGAGTTAGATATAAGTATTTTATGATAACTCAAATTTGTAATTATGAGCTTATGTAGTAATTACATATCACTATGTAGTAATTCTAGAATCAAATGAAAATGAAAATACAACTTAAAAGAACTGCGGGATATAGCAGTTGGTAAGAAGAAAGCTCAATGCTGTAAATGCCTAAATTAAAAAGTGAGAAGGTCTCAAATGAAACTTAATATGTACCTTAAAGTTTGAGAAACATAAGAAAAGCCAAACTCAAAATTAATAGATGGAAAAACAATAATGATGGAGCAGAAATCAATGAAATGGAAATAAAAAGCAGACTATACAAGAATCAATGACACTATGAGCTCATTCTTTAAAAACATAAAACAATCAAATTAACCAAAGAACTAATCATTCTGGAGATAAAAGGGTGATATTATGACCATACTAATGAAATTCAGAGGCTCACAAAGGAACTGTTTGAAAATCTAGACTCTAATAAATTGAAAAATCTACAAGAAATTGATAGAAATACTGTCTACAAAACTTAACCTAATGGATAAAAACAACTTAAACTGATCTATAAAGAGTAATGAGATTGAATCTGTATTCTCCTAACTAAAATAAAACAAATACAACAAACGCTACAACATGGTTTCACTGCATGTGTGGAATTTTTGATTATAAGAGGTGATAAATGAGAACATGATGGAGAATTAACTGCTGTAAATGAAGGACACGGTAGTTATTCATAGGAAAATGGGAGAACTTTTCTGTTGTATCATTTTTTTAAAAAACATTGAAATTCTTAGTACCCTTTTAAAAGTTAAAAACAGACCTATACTTAGAATTCCAAGCAGGAAATATACCTTAAGCTAGACACAAAAATGATGATTATGAAAGAAAGAACAGACACACATGATCATATTCAAATTAAGATGTTACTCACTTAAAACATACCTTAAAAACAGTAAGGAGTGGGTTTAAAAACTGAAAATAGGGCCAATAAAAGATTATGGGAAAAAACATATAAGCACAAACCATCTAACAAGCAATGGATCTGTTAAACTAAGACTAAAAGTACTCACTCACCTGCTATGGCTGAGGGAAGCAGAAATGGGTGTAGGCACCACAGTCTGTAGCCCCTCCCCTTCTATCTCAGTGCCAAGGAGGCAGATAAGCTGTAGTTCTGGTATTCCTACACAGTTTACTTCATGCCAACTTTTACCTAAAAAAGCATCAAGAATGCATTCATTGAAAACAAAAGATAAGCATTCTAAATTTCTAATACTCAGTAGAGCAAATCACTCATGATATAATCTCCTCTCTTTGTTTTTCTGGTCTTTTCTATAACCTTATAATTCCCAATGTAAATGAACAAAGAAATATAAAATTAACTGGAAAATTACTAGTAAATGAAAAATGTTTGTTTATTATATTATATATATACTATATATTATTATATATAATATAATATAATTATATTATATTATTATGAACAATGCTAAATGACAATCGAATTTCCCAACCTCCCACATGCCAATCACAAAGCAATATAAACAAACAACTTACTCTCCATGAGATCCAAGTACACCAAGAATGCTATGTAAACTTGGGTGGCATCTCCTATATCTAATTCCATCATTTCTAAGTACTGAAAATCAAAACACAATTGTTAAATAAAGAAATAGCTCACTGTTTTCTTTCATTTAACAAGTATTTACTAAATGCATACATATAATATAAATATATGTATATAAGCTATTTTCCAGACTTAATGGAAGTTAAAAGAAATGTAAGGTCTTATCTTTACCTCTAAAAAAAAATCTACAATTGTTAAATGCATGTATACAGCCTCCCTTGCTGTATCCAAGACATCACCCTAATCAATCACAGAAATCTAAGAATGTTCAAGTCCCTTACATAAAATGCAAGAATATTTGCATATAATCTGTGCAATCCTACCATACTCTTTTAAATCATCTATAGATTAGTTACAATACAGAATACAATTCAAGTGCTACATACTGTTTAGGAATAATGATAATAAAAGTTCGTATGTATATAGTATAGAGGAATTTTTTCAAATATTTGCAACTCAAAATTAATAGCAAATTCTCCATATATGGAAAACTAGCTATACTTCAGATTGTTAGACAAATGACAGTTATAAAGCTGTATGAGCTATAAAACAATGATAGAATAGATCAGAGGAAGTATTTTCAGGGGATGGACTGGCAAATGTTTCATGACATTTAGATACAAAGTAACTCTTGTGGGACTTGACTGTTTGGAGAAGAAGAGTAATGGTGTAATTATGGAAAGTGAGAATAAGCTACATATATTCAAGAGTCTACAAAGACACATATTCACCAGGATCAGAGAAAACTTAAATACGATTTTCACTGGGTTTTACTATGAGAAGCCTCTTTCTCTGGTCTTTAGTTTGCATACAGAAAAACTTCTGCTAACTTCCTCAGCACTCCCACTCAAATGGGAGTTATTTGAGGTTTAAGAAGCGAACAACTTCTTTCAGATTTGCTGCTTGTTATAGGAAAAACTCAGAAACCTACTCCTGCAGAGAAAGCCTTGGGCATCCAACCATGTCAGTGAGCATGTATATAAACGGAGCTGATGCATAGATGAGATAGCTGCAGAACCTCGAGGGGAGGGGGGAGCAGACCTGCTGTCACCTTCTCCTACCAGCTGCATGGTAAACATACAGGTTGCATACGAGGGCTTTGTGTGTCCCACATCTCAAAAAGTGCTTGACAATGCTACCGAAATATAATTTGGGTCAGGCTACAAGGTCTATGTGACAAAGCTAATCATAAATTTTATCCATGTGGAGGACTATGGATTTCTGATTCAAAGAATAAAATAATAAGTTTGTAAATGAGAAATCCAGTAACATCTTACTAAGTGGTCTTCAAATTAAGTAACTAAAGGGTATAACTGGAAAACACACATTATTTCTTTTCTCCTTTGTATCAATTTGTTGATCCTGGAAGAAAAATCAACAGGAAAACTTGATAGTAGGTCTATACAGTTATTAACGTGCAAGAAAAAAGACCCCGCAAGAAAGGAAATTGTCTAAAGGCAACATCAGACCTTTTAAAAGGTTTTAAAAGGTTACTAATAAATACTTATATAGCATTTTTCACATGTCAAATATCTTACAAGAATGTCCCTATGAGGCAAAGTACTAATATTATCCCAGTTTAAATGAAGCGACTGTGATATACTGAGACAAGGCAAAAAAACTGAAGCACAAGACACAATGAGATCAGCCAAATCACAACAAGTCAAAGTTGGTAAGAGAAATAAGATTCAAAATGGAGAAGTCTGAATTGGAATCCATGTTCCTAGTCACTGTCTCTGCCTCTCTTCCTGTGTCCCCTATTACTATAATCTGTTAAATTTATAACATTCCCATGCTGTTGGCCATGGGGAAGATGGATGGAAGAGAGCAAGAAAACATCAAGCTTCAAGAAGTAGGGTAAAGGCTCATTTTTTCAGATTTGTACTTTCAAATATCTCCTTTCCTTAATTATTTTAGATGCTTATCTGAGTTCATAACGCAAAAGGAAAAGTTGCCATTTTATTAATGTACCAATCCAGTCCTCAAGATCCTTATACAACCTGCATTCATTATCAGCAAACTGCTTTTGGTTTTTCGGATACAAACCACCAATTTCCCAAGTAGGGCTGGCAAAAGGCTATCCTTATTTTCCTTGGAGCCAATACAGAAAAACTGACAACGTGAATAGCTCTGCCCTGTGAAAGGACTTACTCAGGAGTTTCCAAGAAATCCGAAAAACTGGGGTTCTGTTTCCATACAGAATGAAGATGCACAACACTTTGGGCCTAAGACTACGAGTAGTGTGACTGTGCCTAACCAAGCCTATGATCTGTGGAGCCCTGGATCTCAGTCATAGCCCACAGACCGGCTAACCGTGGACTCAATCAGTTCATCCGAGAAAGGACTAGATAGGAAAACAGGTATTAGTGGAATGCTTATCAGAGGCCTCTGGGTAAGAGCGGCTTTGGCAGACTGAGAGGCATGGTATTAGTCATATAAACAAACAAAAATGATACTGCGGGAGATCTGCGGCCGTACACAGGGGTCGCCCCCGCCGGGAGGCAGGCA